GGTGGGATGTTACACAGACCAGTTTTCTCTTTCACTTCCCGAGGGATTCTCCACTCTTGCCCCAAACATTCCCTCTTTGGGGAATTATCCCCAAGTTCTGTGGGATAAACCCCCACAGGGAGGTGTTTATCCAGGAAATCCTGGACAGGTAAAGCCACAAAACCTCTCCAGGCCGATTCTCCCTGTGGGATAAGGAGCTGTTTTCCTGCTTTTCTTGGAACCCCGTGTTCTCCATGGCCTTGTTTCACGCTCCTCTTCCTTTTCCATGCCCGCAGGGAGTTTCCAGGATGTGGGAACATCGTGACCTTCTCCCAGTTCCTCTTCATCGCCGTGGAAGGTTTTATCTTCGAGGCCAATTTTGGGAGGAAGAGCCCGGCCATCCCAATCAGGTACATCCCAAACTTTTGCATCCCAGACTTTTCCTGGGCAGGGATTATCCCTGGCTATCCATGATCCCCAAAAACCCTTAACAAAGTGGCTTATCCACTTATCCTGCCTCAATCCCATCCATCCTCCAGCCACCCTGAGAACCTGTCAGGCCTGAGAAAAACATTTCTCGGGAATTCTTCATAGGAAACTGCCCTCAGATCCTTCCCTATCAGAGGCACAGGGGAATATTTTCCACAGGGAAAAGTTTGCTGTGGTTAAAGAGCTTTTTTTTTAAAGAGAGTTTTCCTGGAATTCAAAGGATCATCTCCTTGTTATTCCCTGGGAGGGACCCAGGGAATCTTGCTCTGCTCCAGGCCTTTCCCTGCAGCCCGGGATGGTTCCCCAGGTGTCTCCCAGCATTCCAGGCTTGGAATTTTTGCCGTTGCAGGTACTATTTGATCATGGTGGCCATGTTCTTCACCGTCAGCGTGGTCAATAACTACGCCCTGAACCTCAACATCTCCATGCCCCTGCACATGATCTTCCGCTCGGTGAGTGCCGCCCTTTTCCCGCTTTTCCTCCTCTGGAATTCCTCTTCCCGTGGCCTCTCCCCGCTCCACGTGTTCTGCCGGCCCTTCCTTCCCCGAGGCCACCAAAACCCCAGGAAAAATCCCGCATTCCAACTGATTGGCAGGGAAAACAAACCAGCTCTGAAGGCTCCAGTTCTCGCCTTAAATTCCAGGGAATTCCAGCTTAGCGGATGGATGAGGAAATTCCAGATTGGGGGGGAAGTGATGGTGATGAGACCAATCCCAGACTCCGGCTCTCAGCCCTGGATTGTGGCCAGAGGGATCCCAGCTTTTTCTGGCACCACACACATGGAAACACCATGTCCTGGTGTGGGATTCTTGGTGGAATATCCCATTCCATAGAGCCTGGATTTGGGATTTGGCCCAGTGGTGTCCTGACCATCCCATTCC